TAAATAAATTTTTCTTTCTTCTTTGGTTTTATTTTAGAAATATCACTATTGACGCTTTCACATTCATCGAACTCAGACAATTCAAAGTCGCTGTCTATACTTTCTGACTTACGAAAGAAATTTCTGCGTGAAACTGGTTTTATTTCTCTCTTCCATTCTTTTGCCTTCATTTCACCAGTCGGGAATTTCACAACACTTTCTATATTAATCTTATTATTTTTATATACAAAGGAATAAGGATCATCAATTTCCTTTTCACTTGTATATTTTTCTATTTGTGTATCTTCCAAAATTGCTGCAGGATCATCTTTATTTTCTTCAATAGTAAGGGTGTCTTTCAATATTTTATCCAAGACAACCCAATGACCTTCCACCAGATTACCAAGCAATAAAATATAGAAGCAAGGTTGATCTGAAGAGTCAGCTGTATTTTCATCTACTTTAGTTATATACAAGTCACCTGGTTTTTTAATAAAAACCTTCATATTAACTCCATATATCTTGATAAAAACTCCTATTTCATACAAAGTCCCGTATTCTCCTAATTTTCCCATTACGTTTTTATAATGAGTAGCATCATTATATTTAACGATACTAGGATTAGAATATATCACTGACGATAATTCTGATTCCCAGTTTTTCGTTGTGTAATCAACTATACATTGTCTCACTTTTTCATGATAAGATTGATCATCATACAAAAAGTCAGATAAACATCTAAATAAACAATTTCCATCACCAATAATATTTCTTTGTCTGTAATGGTGCAAGCCATCAGACTCAACGATATCTTCTAATTTATTTTCTATTTCATCACTTGAAACTTCACTATTTTTCATCACTTCACTTCTATCTTCAGCAAGTTGTTGCTCCTTATTAATATTATTAAATGAGTTAAGCTCATTATTAGATGAATACTGTAATTTACAGTCATCATCAAACTCTTTTCTATGGTCTTCAGTTACTCTACCGTTTTTACTTTTGTTTAAACAAACCGATTCTTTATTATTAACTATATTACATTTACCTACCATAAGATGTTCGACCTCAGCACGTAGTTCTGAGTTTGGTTTTGTCCATAGATACTTAATTTTTTTTACAAACCCGCTGTCACCTTTCTTCTTTATACTCTTACAAATCTACAGAGAAACAAAATTAAATTTTCCTATACTTCGAAATATATATCAAAGAGTGTAAGATTTCTATTTTAGCGATAAATTCAATTTATGAATAATTAACATGGATAATAAACTGCAAGAATAGAAATATGTTAGTAAATTGGTTTAAGAACATAATACCTTATGTTTTGAAATTATTTGTATAAATTGTTAATTTTATAACCATCTCCTATACTACAATCAATATCGTTGTGTTAAAATTTGGTAGAAAAAAAAAGAGAATGAATAAAAATAAAATAGAGACTACATATTTATCTTTTGTATATTTTAAATTAAAACGTATGCAAACAAAGGAAATTAATTATCAAAATATTAAACCCGTTAAATTAGAAGAATATTCACAGTTGTTTTTATAGTGGCGGCAGCAAAAAGTATACACGATGTTAAATTTATTATACATACCAATATAAAATTGGAGACATAATCACTACCATTAAGAATGTTAAATTTAGTGCTGTATAATAGTGTAATAGCATTATTGATCTTAGGTCAAATTAATCTTTTGAATAATTTTTCCATTATATCTTGAAATGAGTAAAAGTTCATCGATTTTTGAGAAAAATGGGTGCATTTTCTATTTTTATTCATCAATAAATATTGACGTATGTAGTCTATTTTAAACAGCATGACTTACGAGGTGTGTTCAAAAAGTAAGGTGACTTTTCAAATCCCACGGGCAACGTACTTTCGATTATCGATTTTTTTGTTTTGTTATGTTGGTACACTCCTCCCGAACATCTGTACCAAGTTTCAAGTGTATAGCATTTTTTGTTTGGTTGTGAGAGGTGTAAAGGTTATAAGTGTTTTGCGTGCTCGGCGATTTCTTGCTATCGAAAAATATGGATCAAAGGATTTGCATCAAATTTTGTGTAAAAAATAAAATAAAGTGCTCTGAAACATTTGAAATGTTGACGGTGGCATACGATGAAACTGTTCTGAGTAAAAAAAATGTTTACAAGTGGTACAAACTCTTCCAAGATGGCCGGGAAGATGCCAATGACGAGCCTCGCTCCGGACGTCCAAGCACGTCAACAACTGATGAAAACGTTCAAGCAGTAAAGAAAATTGTTCTGGAAAATCGTCGAATCACTATCAGAGAAGTTGCTGAGGATGTTGGTATATCGCTTGGCTCGTGCCATGAAATTATTTCTAACGTTTTGGGCACGAGACGTGTGTCAGCTAAGTTTGTTCCGAAATTCCTAAATTTTGACCAAAAGAACCGTCGCATGAGCATCGCACAAGAACTGTTGAATGACGTCAACGACGACCCAAATTTACTCAAAAGGGTCATAACTGGTGACGAATCATGGGTATATGGTTATGATATCGAAACCAAAGTCCAATCGTCCCAATGGAAGAGCCCAGATGAGCCAAGACCGAAAAAAGCATGCCAAGTTCGATCAAATATCAAAGTTTTGCTCACTATTTTCTTCGATTACCATGGCGCGGTGCATCAAGAGTTCTTACCATATGGACGTACGGTCAATAAATAGTATTATCTTGAAGTTATGCGCCGTTTGCGAGAAGTAATACGAAGAAAACGCCCAGAATTGTGGTAAAACAATTCATGGCTTTTGCATCACGATAATGCCCCTGCTCACTCATCTTTGCTTGTGAGAGATTTTTTGGCCAAAAACAACACCACACATGCCTCAGTCACCATATTCACCGGATTTGGCCCCATGTGACTTTTTCTTGTTCCCAAAACTAAAGAGACCTACGAAAGGACGGAGATTTACAACGATTGAATAGATAAAGACTGCATCGCTGGAAGAGCTCAAGGCTATACCGAAAAGTGCTTATGAGAAGTGATTTGAGGATTGGCAAAACCGTTGGCATAAGTGTATTGTATCTGAGGGGGATTACTTTGAAGGGGACAACATAAATATTGATAAATAAATAAATATTTTTTCTTAAAAATACAAAATCACCTTACTTTTTGAACACACCTCGTATTCGTGTCCATTGAAATCTTGAAATTGACATGTAAAAGGTTCAAATAATGTAATAAATAATAGTAAAACATTTAAAAAAAGCGCGCGAAGCGCGCTAAATAACACTAATAATGAAAAAGTTAGATAGGCGTTCATTAAATGTGGTACGTTCGGCGCTACAGTTTTAAACAAGTCACTTTTGCTCACTACCGGTAGTGTTGGTACTAAATAATCGAACTGGATATTTTTAGTGATGTTACTATTGCGATTCGCGTTCGTATCCGTCCGCATTCATACGTAGCTATGGGACCGGGGCCCAATAGACACGAAAATCGTACGCGACAAGCAATTTCTAATGGATTTTCTGTTGCTACCAACTTGAAATATTAAATGCTTAACATAACCTCAAAATGATTAGACAAAGTTAAATACAACAAGTATATTTTAATAAAAGTGTAAAAAATATTCAAATTATTAGCCAATAGTTAAGACTAAAATATTACTCAGATTAAATTATAATATTATAAAAAAATGTTTGTAAGTTAGGGTAATTTCGTTATTATTATTGAGATTATATTGCATGAAATTGCAAAGTTGAGTTATTTTGAATTCGTAAGTTGGCAGCAATTTGGTGCGTACAATTTTTGTATCTATTGGAGAATCAGCCTAAACTTTTGACACATCAGGCATGGTGTATTATATACTGCATATATGTATAAGAGTTATGCGATATTATTGTTAGGACTGAAAAAATACAGCTTAAACCTTATAATATATTAAGTGATATTACTCATGATTAAACGTTACTTGTAAATAGATTGAAAGTAAACGCTGTTTGATACTATATTGCAAAAATGTTTACGATAAACAAATGAATCACAATAACCTAAGAAACATTATGAGTAAAATCAATTACAATAATTTACTCCTAGATGAATTTTAATAGTTATAGAGATAGTAATTTAGAATATTTTAAAATTAGAATTTTCAATAAACTATTATAGAGGGTGAAACTTTTAAATATTTAGGTATAACAATAGATTTTTATTTGGAATGGAGTTATATAAACATATAAACAATATAGCGAATAAAATCTAATGTCTGATATTTATTTTCTGCAAATAAACAATCATTTCCTATACTAAATTACTACTAACAATATATTACACTTACTTTCATAGCTTATGATGAGAGAGAGAGAGAGAGAGAGAGAGAGAGACCAATGCAGTGCGCGCAAGTTAGTGAACGAAAAAGATTATATAATATTATAATTAAACTTTTCCTACATACCTTTTTAATTATTGAATCTCTTCGAACATTGTCAAAATTCACTTCTATAGTGGATTTATAATTATCTGCAATAATTTTTGCAGCAAGCTGAACGAATTTTTTATCGATCATTTTCCCTTCTCACTTTTTAAACTTGCACTATTACAGATAACCGTTTTTCAAAACTTGAATATAGCACTATTCAAACAAAGTAAATTAAAGTAAAATTAAAAAAATGAAATAAATAAACGAAACACATTGAATTGAAAATTGAAATCAACTTTGAACAATGAAAAAATTCACTGTGCACTGTAGTCGTGGCAAAAGTCACTGAACAACTGACTGCGACTATCGAGAAAAGACTATGTGTTGACATTATATGCTATATGAACACATAGTTACATATATAAAACATAGGGTTTGAAAGACGATATATTTTTCAAACGGCGAATGCTTTGTGCCCGTACTACAGTCAGTTGTCAGAAAACAGTCAGAGGCAACGGTTGTCGCGAGACTAACAAGTGTACTTAAGGTAAGTAGTTTACTATTTCGCTTCTTTATCTTAAAATTAAATTATTAATTTCATTAAATTTTAATATTGTATTTATGCAAAATATAGATGGCAGAATATTCGGACACAGGTCTGATGCCCCCTGGCATTGATGGCGACGACATTTCCCAACAAATGCCGCATGGAAGCGCCGCATCCTCACCGCCAGCACCACCACCATCACCACCCTCAGCACCACTACCATCACCACCACTACCATCACCACCACCACCACCATCACAAGTACCAGCCTACGGGTACTGGGGGACGGATAACTCCGCGGGACCTTCCGCATATCCCCAGGTACCCTACGGGCCACCGCCGCATCAATCGCCAGCGCGCTGGCCACACCAGCGTCACCAACAACATTACGCATCACGCCAAGAGTAAGTTGACATATAAAATTGTTAAAGAGGAGAGAGAGAGAGTAAGAGAGAGAGAGAGAGAGAGAGACCGAACATAGTGCGCGCAAGAGAGTAAGTGAGAGAGAGAGAGAGAGAGAGAGAGAGTAATCAAGAGAGCAAGAGCAAGTGAACGATAGAGAGAAAGAGAGAGAGAGAGAGAGAAACCGAACACAGTGCGCGCAAGTGAGTGAGCGAAATAGAGAGAGATAGAGAAGAAAAACCAATGCAGTGCGCGCAAGTGAGTGAGCGAAATAGAGAGAGAAAGAGAAGAAAAACCAATGCAGTGCGCGCAAGTGAGTGAGCGAAATAGAGAGAGATAGAGAAGAAAAACCAATGCAGTGCGCGCAAGTGAGTGAGCGAAATAGAGAGAGATAGAGAAGAAAAACCAATGCAGTGCGCGCAAGTGAGTGAGCGAAATAGAGAGAGATAGAGAAGAAAAACCAATGCAGTGCGCGCAAGTGAGTGAACGAAAAAGAGAGAGAGAGAGTAATCGAAAGAGCGCGCAAGCAAGTGAGCCGAAGTGAGAGAGAGAGAGAGAGAGAAACCGAACACAGTGCGTGCAAGAGAGTGATAGATAGAAAGAAGACAGAAAGAAGACAGAAAGAGAGTTGACCGAAAAACAGCGCGCACGCGAGTGATAGACTGAAAGAAGAAAGAGAGAGAGAGTTGACCGAAAAACAGCGCGCACGCGAGTAATAGAGTGAAAGAAGAGAGAGAGGAGTGAATTGATCGAAGAAAAGCGCGCGCGCGACAGATAGAGTGAAAGAAGAAAGAGCGAGAGTGAATTGATCGAAGAAGAGCGCGCGCGCGACTGATAGAGTGAAAGAAGAAAGAGCGAGAGTGAATTGATCGAAGAAGAGCGCGCACGCGAGTGATAGACTGAAAGAAGAAAGAGAGAGAGAGTTGACCGAAAAACAGCGCGCACGCGAGTAATAGAGTGAAAGAAGAGAGAGAGGAGTGAATTGATCGAAGAAAAGCGCGCGCGCGACAGATAGAGTGAAAGAAGAAAGAGCGAGAGTGAATTGATCGAAGAAGAGCGCGCGCGCGACTGATAGAGTGAAAGAAGAAAGAGCGAGAGTGAATTGATCGAAGAAGAGCGCGCACGCGAGTGATAGACAGAAAGAAGAAAGAGAGAGAGTTGACCGAAAAAGAGCGCGCACGCGAGTGATAGAGTGAAAGAAGAGAGAGAGAGAGAGAGTGTAAGAGAGAGAGAGTTGACCGAAGAAGAGCGCGCACGCGAGTGATAGAGTGAAAGAAGAGAGAGAGAGAGTTGACCAAAGAAGAGCGCGCACGCGAGTAATAGAGTGAAAGAAGAGAGAGAGAGAGTGAATTGATCGAAGAAGAGCGCGCGCGCGACTGATAGAGTGAAAGAAGAAAGAGAGAGAGAGTTGACCGAAGAGCGCGCACGCGAGTGATAAACTGAAAGAAGAAAGAGAGAGAGAGTTGACCGAAGAAGAGCGCGCACGCGAGTGATAGAGCGAGAGAGAGTAATCTAGAGAAGAAGACAGAGAGAGACAGTAAGCAAAAGATAGAAAAATGATAGGACAGGAAAAGCGCGCACGCGAGAGTAAGAGAATGAGAGAATGAGAGAGAGGAAGAGATAGAGAGAGAGAGAGAGAGAGAGAGAGAGAGAGAGAGAGAGAGAGAGTATAAATTTGAATAAAGATACTTACGAATGAAACTATTTATGAAACTATAATTAATGAAACTAATATAATTAATGAAACTATAATTTTAAATATTTACAGATCAATGGTACCGTATAGTGAGGTCCAGAAATTAAAATATGTAAGTAATTGAAACATGGAAAACAGCTACCATAACTATAATTATAAAAATCTAAATATACATTTTTTTTAGAAACTGGCAGCTGAGCGACGTAAAGTCCGAAATCTCCAGGACGAAAATAAATCCTTAACAGCTCAGCTGGAGCTGTTAAAGAAAATGATGCCGTAAGTAAAAATCAAATTGTTTCAATACTATCTGCGATAAACATTATTTTTTAATATTAAACTTTTTTTGTTTCAGATACAAGTTTTAATTAATTAAAAAAATTAATATTAAATAATAAAATAAAATAATTTATAATAAAATAAATAAAATAATTTTCAACAAAAATTTATGTCTTTAATCAGATAATTTTTTAAACCTTTTAAATGTCAACTTCAAAATTTCCATGAACAGGAATAAGTCATGCTGGTTAAAATAGACTACATACGTCAATATTTATTGATGAATAAAAATAGAACATGCACCCATTTTTTCTCAAAAATCGATGAACTTTTATCATTTCAAGATATATCGGAAAATTTATTCAAAAGATTAATTCGACCTAAGATCGATAAAGCTATTACACTATTATACAGCACTAAATTTAACATTCTTAATGGTAGTGATTATGTCTCCAATTTTATATTGGTATGTATAATAAATTTAACATCGTGTATACTTTTTGCTGCCGCCACTATAAAAACAACTGTGAATATTCTTCTAATTTAACGGCATTAATATTGTGATAATTTCCTTTGTTTGCATGCGTCTTAATTTAAAATGTATAAAAGATAAGTATGTAGTCTCTATTTTATTCCATTCATTCTCTTTTTCTTTTTACCAAATTTTAACACCGATATTGACTGCAGTATAGGAGATGGTTATAAAATTAACAATTTATACAGATAATTTCAAAACATAACGTATTATGTTCTCAAACCAATTTATCAACATATTTTTCTTGCAGTTTATTATCCATGTTAATTATTCATAATTTTAATTTACCGATAAAATATAAATCTTACACTCTTTGATATATAACAATAGTAATATTTCAACGTATAGGAAAATTCAAAATTTCAAAATTTCAAAATTTATTTTTGCATCAACCAATCTCAACGCTGAATATCGGCGACTCATCTTTCCTTAAAGATAGGATTAACATTAAAATAAGATAGAACCATACCATCATTCTTTTAAGAAAGGATAGGAAGCGGAGAAAGAGAATAAAACGTGGAAAAAATATAAAAATCAAAAATAAAAAAATATAAGAGAAGGATAAAGATAGAATAGAACCGTCAGTTGTGCCTAACAATTTAATTTTGTTTATTTTTAACATATTGGTTCATGATATCAAGCTTTCCGTAAAAGGTGTCTGCATTTCAACAAATATATTATTTTAACTGAACTGTTTTTTCAATTGTTCATCCGGAACCATTTGGAGAAATTCTTCCAAAATTCCAAAATTTATTTAAAATAAATTAACGATGCCGAATACACCCAAATAAATTCACAGAATTAGATCACTAATGAAGTTACTTCACTTAGCATTACTTTTTCATATAGGAAAATAAAAATATATAGTATTAGATATATTTTTCACGCTCTTATCTTCTTTTTTATTTCGTATTATTATATTAATAGTAACAAATTTAACATAAATTCCTTTTTTCAAAGGTAGATATTTCAATTTTTTTACAAAACACTTGTCACAGCGGAAAAATGCGCATTAGTTGCGTAACACGTTTTTAAATTCATGATTTATTAGATTAAAAACTACAATAAATATAATTTTATACTAGTTGTTTTATCGACGAGTTAAATTATTATTAACCTTTTATCCTACTTTTTGAATAAAAATTGCAACATTACAACCTTTATTTTACACATTCAAAAATCAGATTTTCGATTATTAATAGAAAATATTTAGAACAATTTCAACTCATATTATTTAAATGAAACGATTTCTTCGTCGTTAGTTTCATGATATAAGTGTATAAACAATAATAGTGCAATCTACTTTTTTTTACTTTTTGCAACGATTACCGAAAATCGTTTGACTCGCGCGATGGAATTAGCGGTTAAGCGAGGTGAGCCGCGTTCGGTTCGCGAGAGAGAGAGAGCGCGTAAGGGGCAACGACCGGGAGGGGAGGCTCCGAGCGCCAGTACGACTGTGATACTCAGTCAATCCGTGTGCCTAACCTCCATCCGTCCCGAGTTTTCTCGTTTTGTTTTGCCACTGACTGAGACTGTGATTTGCGCGGGTGAGTGTGGGCGACAGCAGCATCTGCAGCAGCAGCAGCAACAGCGGCAACAGCAACTGCAGCAGCAGCAACACCAGTAACAGCAGCAACAGTAGCGGCAACAACAACAGCGGTGACAGCATTAGAGGCAGAACAGCGGAGCAGTTTAATAACTACGAGTTATTCGGATACGGTTGGCCACCGTATCCACGCCGTCGTTGCGGTAGGTGCACCTTCCCTGTTTCTGATTGTTGTTAATTTGGCGTGCGAATCCGCGCAGCGAGCGCGAAGAACAGATATATTGCGTGCGAGCAGGTAGTTCGCGGCATTCGTGGTTTTTCTCTCTCTCTCTCTCAAAAAGCGTGTATTGTCATTCACGCGTGCGCGCGTCAGTCTCTCGGCCAAATCCCTGTGTAATTGATTTCAGTTAATAAATCATCCCTTGGTCTTTATTCGAACGAGTTTCCGTTATTGTGTTTCCCTTTGTCCGGAGGTCGCGCATATTTGTTTACATTCCGATTCGAATTCGCCGGTTGCGAAGCACGAATCGCGTGAGAATCACTAGACGCGAGTCGACGTCCTGGGTTCCGGTGGTGGCCGCTCGAGCGCTAATAGTACGAGCGACAGCGCCGCCAAGTGGCGAGTTGGGGGAACCCAACTCGGAACTTTGAAGAGACTCTGCGCAGGCGCACTCCTAGGCAAGGTAGGTTAATGCGCATCGAGCGCATAGATAACAAGGCTTCATATAGTTAGAGTACGGGCACTTTTAGGAGATTACCGACTAAATGACAGCCTGTTACATGGCGCCCAACTAGAATTAGGACTCACACACGAAAAAAAAAAAAAGAGAGAGCAACGCGCGCGAGAGAGAGACGTTTGCGCGCGTGCGTAATAAGGTGCGAGCGGGTAAAATAACGCGTGGCTCGTTCGGTACGTGCTCTGCGGTAGGGGAAAGACGCCTCTCCGACCCAATAATAACTGCTTTTGTGAGCCGAGAGCACACTAACCCCAGGGGTCGAAGAGACATCCGTAGTCGCTCTAACTTGAAAACAAAAGGTGACTAATTGTATTTAGGTTAACTTTTTGCTTTTTTAAGTGTTTCATTACACATTAAAGTAGTAAAGTGGGGGTTAGTCACCGAGCGACAGTACCAGCAGAGCGCGCAATTAGGGTGTGTGTAGGGTTAGACCAACTAACCCGGTGGACCACACAAACAGTTAGCCTCCACCTATAGGCAGGTAGCTGCGAAGCGGAAGTTAGTACTTCCTTAGACTGCGCGATACCTGCACACACCCACAAGCCACGCGTATTGTTGCCTTGTAAATAAAGGCGTAACTGGGTAGTTGGCGATAAAAATCGCAACACCCCGCTCGCGCCTTGGGCGATAGGAGGCGGTAGCGGTCGAGTACGAAAACTAACCTCAACCGTCACCTACGCCCTAACATAAGCGTTATGGAGGATACCGCCGACGCGATAACTCGGTGGGCTTCGGAACTGCCTTCGACACAGCTGGACAGATACCTGACGCAACTGGAGTTGCGTACAGATGGTCCCAGGCTGATGCAGGCAGTCCGATTAGCGTATTGGTTGCTAGGCGAGTACATCGACCTAGACTTCCAAGGAGCGGCGTTGGATAGGGAGGCCACACAACGCAGGCGACGGAGCCGAGAGAGGTGGCTGGAGACCAAGCGACGCGAGTTGGAAGCAGCCGACGCCGAGGATCTTGTCGCCCACCCACTCATGCTGCTATATAGTGATGAGGCGGTGGAGGCGAACCTAACGCGGACTCTCGCCGTCTACGAGAACCTCGAAGAAGAGAGCCAGAGCGAGATGGGGGAACGAGAGCCCGCAGAGGAAGGGGGGACCGGCGAGGTCAAGGGGCCCACGGAGGGGGTCGGTAGTGAGCACAAGGGCTCCACCGGATCGCCGGATAGGCGAAGAGCCCGTCGCTTCGAGAACGCGGAGCTACAACCTCCAGAAGAAGAGGAAGAGCGCTGCGTGACCGAGCGACTAAAGGAGGAAATCGAGTGCAACCGGGTCGGGATAAACCGCATATTGGAGATGCTGGAAAAGCACGACCAGGTATGCGCTCGGTGGAGCGACCAGTTGACCGCTCTGCAGGTGGAGTTCCAGCAGTTTAGAAGCAGGGACCCCACCAACCGACGAACGGTCATACCAGAGCGGCCCCGGAGGACCGTGGACTTCCAGTCCACGTATACGTGCCACTACGACCCAAGGGTACCAGGTAGTACCCCGGAACCCCAGCGACCGACCCCTGGCGAACCTCGAGCGGCTCCCCAAAGGCAGGTGCCTTCAAGGACGGAGCAGCCACCGAGAAGAGGTCCAAGAGACTCCGACGCTGAAGAAGAGCAGATGATCCCTGAAGGATCTGCCTGGTACGACGCCAACGCGGCGTCGGGGTACTACGCGACTCGGGACGCGGGTAGGATTGTGAGAGGGTGGAAGCTGCGATACTCTGGTACGGCTTCAGAGTGCGTAGATACCTTCTTGTCTAGGCTAGAAGATCTACGCGCGGGGTCTGGGCTAACGGACGGCGAAATCTTGTGCTCGGTATCAGAGCTCCTCGAAGGCGTTGCGAGGACCTGGTACGAGCTTAACAAGCTTAAATGGAGAAACTACGCCGACTTCGTGGCAGGCGCTCGACGTTGGTTTGGGTCGAGTGAGCTTCAGCAACAGAGGTTGCTGCAAGAGGCCCAAGCTCGGTACCAGGAGAAAGGAGAGCTGGTACGAGAATATGCCTGCCACCTTCTCTTCATGTTAGCCCAGCTGCGTCCGCCGTTACCAGAGCAGAGGCAGTTAGATTTGTTATATGCAAATCTCCTACCCGCCATCCGGATGCAACTGCGAAGGAACGCGTTCTCCAACGTGGACGAGTTTCACGCCCGGGCGACCGAGATCGAAACCGCTTTGCGGGACGACGAG